TGACAGCCAGAGAAATCGCGCCTCTTGACCGTCTCCCGGTGTTCTGAAGGGCATTTTTCAGAACTTAGCGCATGTGGGAGGCGGGTTTTGGGCTACAGTGTACTTGAAGGGTCTGCTGAAATCTTGTTAGGTGTCAGCCCAATACCCCAAAAAAATTTCTGGTATGCCCAAAATTTTCGCAGGACCATGATCCCGAATCTCACAAAAAAGGGGCGTGGTGGCAAGAAGTACAGTTGTTGCTATTAGTTACAATTATAAAGAAGTCACTCGCATATTTTTATGACTCATGTAAGTAGCCTTGAAAATTCTGCGACCCGTCCTCAGGGGAAGGAGGGCCCTCGGTGCGCCACTGGCATGTATGTCTGTAGTACGTTGTTCCGCATAGAAGTTTTCATTTTCGAACCAATGCAGATCAAACATTGCACATACACACTCCGGGACTGGAAGGGCCTGATATAGCTGATGATAAAGACAACTTGGAGTATAAGCTGTCTTTTAAGAATCTTACTCTTATTGGGGACGAATTTGACATAAGGTAAGGAACCACTCTTCATGTGATGCAGAACTGCTCCCAGCAAAAACATGCACCAGACGATGACAAAACATAAAGAGTTTGGTAGAAAAAGTGACTTACTTCACCGTCAAACGGCAATAGCGAGACTTCAGGAATATACTTCAAAATATAGTCGACCCATTCCGGCGAAGCCTCTTCCTTCAGGTCACTAAGAATCTCAGCCATCTGAAAAAAAAAACAGTACTAATGTGTGTTAATTATCAAGGAAACATTAACGACCAAAGATAATAATACCCAGCTCAATCCACACAAGTACTTATCTCAGTCGGTGATGAAAGTGTATCAAAGGAATTTCTCTCGGAGTTTGACAGCACAGCAGAACTAGCTCGTAAATCAAAAAATCACTAGACACATATTTTTGTGGATTCTTTATCAAAGTGGCGACGAAAGTTTCATTAGATTTTTGAAGGCAGCGTCAGGAATCACATATGGGTATCTAATGTGGAAAGTAATTTTGGGGTCAACACTAGACCCTGTCCAATCGGCAGTTCAGATAGTGCACTCGCGGCTGAGATATTCATCTCTCAACCACATCCTAGTACTGTGTTAAAACCACGACCCATCAATTTCACGTGGATCTCCGTGCGAAAGCATGCAAGCACTATGCAAGCATCCGTTAGTATCTACTTCAAAAGCTTGCCTTGGGTTGAATATTGTACTCCAGATTATACGTTGCGACTATTTTTCTGATGAAATCCAGATATCGTTTGAGATCCTCGCTGCACTCCGGAAACACAAGACCGTCCTAAAGGTAATCCTTGAAACACCGCAAAATTACTAAAAACGCCAAATTTACCAGTACGCTCTCCTGCTCATCTACTTGCTTTTCCTGTGATAATGCATCTGGAACTTGACTATCTACCGCTGTCGATTTGCTTATGTTGATCGATGATGAAACATCCGCACAGGGATCAGTTGAGGAGCTTGATGGACTCATCTCATCGCAAGAACTATTTTCTTTGTGATCGAAACTCCGAGATACCAAGGAAGACGCAGGTTCGGTGAATGGAGATTTCACCATCGGAGATGGTGTGGCGAATTGTTCATCCTTGTGTTTGAGAGCGGCTAGCATTTGGAACAGCCCTTTTCCAAACGGAGCGCGCTCTCTACCCATTCTGGATAATGAAGTGTGGCGGGTGTCGGATTTTTCGGTAGACTCGTGACAGTCAACATCTTGCGCGGTACTATCACCCCTATGCGCTGCGTTTGCATCGTTATCCTCCAGTTTGCTAAGAGAAAGGCTGAATAGCATCGAATTAGAAATAAAACGTAAACCTCAAACAAATTACCTCGACATCTGCTCGCATAATGGCGAAAGATCATTTGCCACCACGGGGTCCAAAACCTGGAACAAGAACTTGCAGAACTGAAGTCAAATGCTGAATACTGCCCATAAAGTTAACTGTCCCAGCAGATCATGGTCTTCAATACAGAACATATACATTACCAATGATTGAGAATTTAGATAGTCGAGC